ATCGAGGCATGACACTCACTGGAGTGCTTTGTCACAGATAACTTAATTTTCTTTAACAAAGTGCCTAACCGCACATTAAATAGTCGCACAACAGTGTTCAGATGTTGTGCTATCGGTTGGCTGAAATTTAAACGTTTTCTTCAGAGACAGGGTGGTAACGCCGAAAACACGAGCTAAACGCAGCAAACGAAAGGCTACCGGAAATTACTTAGCTGGCTGAACTTTTACCGGAACTACATCACACCGCTCTGTGCATATAGCCTTATTCTTTCGCGCGAAAGGGAAACACACTGACGTCACATACGGGGCACGAGGCTACATCGCGCATGTCATGAACCGTCGAACCGTGCGACGCATGCATGCTCCGAACCGAGACAAGCAAACCGAACGGTTCGGTTTTTTTTCATGAACCGTGCCATCCCTACAGCTTACACTGAACTACGTGCTCAAAAGGCACAAAACAAGGGGTGTGTCCGAAATCGCACACTTGCCTCAGTGCACTGAGATGTAGTGCGTAGTGCGCACTGCGCACTTCCTCCTGTAGTGCACAGTACCATGGGAAAGTGCTGTCATAAATGGAACACTAACGTTTTGCACTTACCGGAAGTGACGGACTAGCATTTGATCGCGATTCTCCAGCGCCCCAAAATATTTGCCGTGTTTTGTTTACAATGAATTTCCTTGTGGTTTTATTTGCGTGTATATAACTTATCTACGACCGCCTAACCGGCTAAAAAACTGCTAACATTTACGTGGGCAAACTCTTCTAAGCCGATATAATCGCAAACTCAAAATTATCTATAACTGTCGTCAGAGTGTGACAGGCTACACACCGAAGTAAACATCAGTAAAATAATTTTATTAATGTTACATTTGTATGACGCAGTTGCCTCTGCTTGAGCTTGCGTGTCTATGTTGTCCGCCATTATTTAAACTTGCCGAAAGTCCCTCCCCTTCCGCTACGTAGTCAAAATGGCGTCCGTTTAGTGAGAGTAGTGTCCATCGTTCTGCACTGCGTTTTCTGGCCGTTTTCAGTGCACCATCCGGGTACTTTCAGTGCACTTAATTTTGGCTTAGTTGTCAGTGTGAACACTGACACTACGCCCTAAAATCGCGCACTAAAAGTACGCAAGAGCGCGATTTCGGACACACCCAAGGACTCGCAAAAATAGGGAAAGAAACTGCCTCATTTATCAGGACTGTTGAAATGTTACTGACATATTCACAATAATACTCCTACCTCCTCCGACTGGTCCTCTCTGCTGGAGGAGTGGTTGTTATGACTACCACCCTCTTCCATATCCTGGTCCCGCAGGAGGCAAAGCTCCTCATCGCTGCTATGTCGTACTCGCTCGTATCCCTGGGTGACAGATTGAGATCGGGCAGATTAAGGTCAGAGGACAGTCACAAAAATTTTTAACTGACAGCACTCAGAGAGAGAAGAAAATACAAATGAAGCAATACGACCAGAGGTTCATGCATAATGAAACCATGAGATGACCCCTCCCCACCAGACTGACCCTGTACATTCCCAGCCCTCTGCCCCCATGCTGCAGCCAGTAGAGGTAGACTGGTTTTCCCAGGAGCAGCACTGGTACGGACAGCAATGCGATCACCACCAGGAGCACCTGGAAAACTGCCTGTTGGGGCCAGATGAAGCTTAAGTTACTCACAGATTATTACGCAGATATGACTGATTCTGAACTGGCCAGAAATCGATGGATGCAGCACCAATAATAAAGTTATAAATCACTGACACACTAGTGTGGGATATCCAACACACATTTATTCATACTCACAATCTACTCCTCCATCATTTTAAAACAAAGTGGCTTAATATATTGGTTCTCAATCTTGTTCCTAGTGACCCCCCCTGCCAAATTGTTTTCATTCCAACCCACACTTCTTTCAATGTGCCACTTTCATTATTAGCCTATTAAGGACCATATCAGCCTGATTAAAGTAGGGTTGGAATGAAAACATTCTGGCAGAGGGGGGCGCCAGGAAAAGGACTGAGAACCACTGACAATAGAATTTAAAAACTGCCTCCTATTTGCATATCAGTGTTGCGCATCTAAGGTCAAACATCTAAATCAAATTTAAATGTGCGGTCCATTCCTCTTCTGCACAGCACAGAATGTCACAGCACAGATCTCTTACACGACCTACAATACTTGGCTAAAATGCAAACATAAATACCAGCCCCTCATCTGGAACCAACCTGCCCGGGGTAGAGCGGCTTCACAGCATCCCCCTGCATGAGAAACATGTTGATGAAGTGGATGAGGATGCTGGGAGCCAGACGCGAGTTCACCGAAGAGAAGGCCAGCCACTTGTAGAAGATCATAAAGACCAGGTAGCCGAAGAGGCACAATAGGAAGAGCAGCTCCGGAAGGAAGACCAGGTACAGATTGAACTTTTTCTTGAAGTGCCTTAGGAATGTGGGGATGGGCCAGGAAAAAAGTAGCAGGGTTAGAAACACACATTAGGAATTCTGGGAAGAACTTCATCTTTGATACACCTGCACTCTCCAAGGGCAAAAGGTCACAAAACGCCATCAGAGGTCAACCAGAAAACATTTCACTTCAACATTTATAATGGAGTAACTAATATTCATTTACACTGTATCCCGTAATCTGAATCAGAAAACCACAAACCACCCCCCCTAAGAAGGATAGTTACAGGTGATTGAAGACACTTAGAACGACCCCAAAGCTCATGTGAATGATGCCCAGGATCACAGACATCTTCATCTTGTAGGAGTTCAGGAAGGAGAGACGGTTTGTTGCTATGTTCCAAACCTGCAACACCAAAGACAAAAAAAACACATGGGAACGTTCTCCAACGCATAACACTTATTTGTTGTAGTTTGAACAGCAGTATGCTTTTGCACTCCAAAGCTTTGTAAATAAGACCAGAACTGACCGGGTCTATGCCCAGGGGGTAGGGTCCTCCAAAAACCCCGGGGACACTGGGGTCAAGGGTTAGCAAGGCATTTGAGTGCAAAGTTTCATTCCTATTAATGGTGTGAAAAGAGAGACCAGTTAAAAACATGACTTATTTACAAAAATGCTGGTTAACACATAATGTTTAAACCATTGAAAAATTTTCCCCAACAGGACACCCTCCCAACTCACGCCCAATGATTCTGAGAGAACATGGCCTTAACGCTCCAGCCTGAGCCAAAGATGTTGAGAGACTTGGAGAAGCAGTCATTGTAGATCAGTCCGGTGTAGATGGAGAAGAGGCCCATCATCAAGATGATGTAGCGGCCCTCAAAGAATGTGGTCAAGAACTGTGGAAGATGTTGAACCCTGGTTATAGGCATGTCACAGTAGAGCAGTAATGAAGGACCATGGCATTGGCCTGGAGGGTGCCCGTACCCACCTCGTTACGCGTCTGTCTCAACTTTCGGTTGTCCTCAAACAGTACCATCCACCAGGCGAAAAGGGCCATAATGATGCCGTGCCCAAGGTCACCAAACATCACCGCAAACAAAAACGGGAAGGTGATGATGGTGTAAGGAGCTGAAAGGAAAACACAAAATCAGGTTAGCAAAAGTAGCAGGTGGGAAAACAAACCCTCAGACACAAGTTTAAAAGCAAAAAAAAAAAAAAAGCTTGAGTGGTCCCACGCCTTATCGTGCCTGAGACAGGCTACAGGCCCTCCAGTTACCCTGCTTGGGATAAGCAGTTAGAAGACAGACAGATGGTTGCCCTTACCTGGGTTGACTTCTCTGTAGTTCCCCACACCATAGGCCTCAACAATGTTCTGGAAGCCCGAGGTGAATTTATTGGTCCTTATAAGAGTGGGCGGTGGGTCCTTGGTTGGGATGCGGTTCACAAAAGAAGGGACAGTAGCACCACTTTTTCTCTGCAGAAAATGAAAGGAAAGTCACTTTACCCATGCTGGTGGCCATGGAAATACAAAAACTATAATTATTCATTTACTGCCCCATGCCAAATCATTCACACAATCAACCATGACTAACTGAAGCACTTATTGAATTGTCTATCACCTAATTATCATCATGTGGCAAGTGCACCAGGACTTTAGGTTGTAATTGTTAAGATCCATCCAACTCCCACCATGGTTTAGGCCAATGACTAGTAGGTAGCTATTCAGATTAGACCTGCACTTCAGTTGCCAGTTCAATTCAGCTACCATAGCTCCCTAGATAAATGGTTCATGTACTAAATATGCTAGTTACTACAACAGGAGTTCATGAAGGATTTCATTAGCAACTGACAAGTTGGAAGGCCAAGTGATGAGAAGGGTGGCATCCGAAATTGCACAATTCCACACTAAATAGTGAGCAAAATAGTAAACGAGACATAATACTGTGTACCACAGTGCATATTAGGGCACAAAAAGTTCCCTAATGGCACCTTACATCAGGTCAAAATACGATGTGTGTGAACACTGTACACTATTCAATCCCACAATTCTAGACTGTGAAAGTCACAGCCATATACGGTTTGTTTGTTACTTCTTGTTATGCAGGACATCTGTCATTAAAAGTCAAAGTCCAGCAGTTCAAAGGTAACAGAGTGCATCGTGAAATTGTATAAAGTTACCATTGCCATAATGCATACTTTTTCCTTGTTTAAGTGTATAGTGTGCGATTTCGAATGCAGCCAAGTACTGAAGGGAAGGGCTAGCTCAACTACAACTGCAATTTTCTTATAAAGGTCAGCAGAGACTCACCGAGCCCTCCTCTAGTGCCCTCCGTAGGGCAGGCAGGTCATTGACTGGGCACCACACTTCAGCAATGAGACACTTGTTGGTGACATCGAAGCTGCACAGGTTTAGAATGTGGTAGATGGCCTTCATCTTCTTGACTTGAACCACCCATGTGTAGACAGACTCCGAGGCCTTGTTCAGTACCTGCCTCAAGTATTCCTCTGTCCTATGAAGGACCTGGTCCCAACAAATAAATCATTACCAAGACAGAAAAAAATAAAAGCAAAAAATGCAGTTAAACACACTCTATGGACAAAAGCACTGGGACACATCTCAATTACTGAATTCTGGTGTTTTATTCAGACCCAGGTTAACAAGTATTTTCTGAAAAAATGGGTCGTTCTGAAGAATTCAGTGAATTCAAGTGTGGTACTGTCAAAGGATGCCATGTTTGCAATAAGTCAGTTTGTGAAAAAAATCTTCCCCATTATATATTCCACGGTCAAGTGTAAGTGGTATTATTGCAAAGGGGAACCATTTAAATACATCTCAGCCATGAAGTAGCAGACCACGTGAAATAACAGAGTGGGGCTTCTGAATGCTGAAGTACATAGCGTGTAAAATCACCAATACTCCGTTGACACAATAACTGTAAATTCACTGGAAAGCAATGGAAAAGTGTTCTGTGGAGTGACGAATCACATTTCTCCGTCGGTCAGTCTGATGGACAAGTCTGGGTTTGGCAGATGCCAGGAGATTACCTGCCTGACTGCATTGTGCCAAATGTAAAGTGTGGTGGAGGAGGGATAATGGTATGGGATTGTTTTTCAGAGGTTGGGCTTGGCCCTTTAGTTCCAGTGAAGGGAACTCTTAATGCTTTGGCATACCAACACATTTTGGACAATTCTATGCTTCAACTTTGTGGGAACAATCTGGGGAAGGCCCTTTTCTGTTCCAGTATAACTCTGCCCTAGTGCACACAGCAAGGTCCAACTTGACATGATTAAGTAACTTTGATGTGGAAAAACTTGACTGGCCTACACAAAGCCCTGACCTCAACCCCATCAAACACCTTTGGGATGAACTAGAATGGAGTTTGTGAGCCAGGCCTTCATGTCCAACATCAGTGCCTGACCTCAGAAACGTTCCTCTGGACAAAAGAGCAAAAATTCACACAGACACACTCCAAAATCTTGTGGAAAACCTTCCCAGAAGAGTGCCAGCTGTTACAGAAGGGGACCAACAACATATGATGTTTGTAAACTTAGAATGGGTTGCCATAAAAGTTCCTGTAGGTGTACTGTAATGGCCAGGTGTCCAAATACTTTCGTCCATATATTGTATATTGCATTGTGTTTAAGCCAGATGGTTCGAAATATTACTAAATTTTAACATGAAGTGAAACAAATTCATACCAGGTAAACATCTATCTTTGAACAGTTAGAATTAAAAAGCACTGACAGAACTTAACTCTCAAATGTCAAATTATGAAGTATCTGAGGGTCTATGTGAGAAAATGAAACTGACACAATAAACGCCAAGAGTCAAGATCTCACTGATGTCTTGTCATGGAGGTAAGATACTACTCCGGCTAACCCTACACATTACCCCAGTAAAGTGACCTTCAGCTGTGACTGGGCAATCAGATGAAAGTAAAGCCCAAAAGTTCACTTTCATAAACATATTAACAATCATCCTGCTTCACATTTCCATGACTAAAATTTACATTCACTTACATTTATTTATTTAACAGATGTTTTGATCCAAAGAGACATACAACTGGGAAAGCAGGGCCAGGTAGTCCCAGGAGCAACTGGGGTTAAGGATCTTGCTCTAGGGCCCAACGGAGAAATCATTCTGCTGACCACAGGATTTGAACAGGTGACCTTCTGATCACAGGCAATGAGTTCTCATTGGTAGTCACAAATCGCCTGATAACTGTGTTACCACTTACATCAATAAGTTATTTCAACAGCAGTCTACATCTATGCTTTCTGCCTCTCTGTACAACAAGACAGCTCCAGCGTACTGTTCAGTCATGATCATTTTCTCTATATCCTACTGCCTCCAAGTTCCCACCCACGCTGTAAGCTCCTTGGCATTAGGGGTGCAACGATTATTCGACATTGTCGACAAAAATCGACAATAAAAATAGTCGCCGACGAATTTGATTGTCGATAATTGTCGCCAGACGTATTTTTAAATGGAGTGAGACGTTTTCCTTCCTTTATACTTGTGCAATACTACCGCTTTCCAATAGACTGCACCAATACACCACACAGGTGAGATTCGCTCTTGCGCAATAGCATTCAGCAACAGGTAGAAGAATGGTGGCCACAAATCAGGCATCGTTGCATATTAAACGCTCTAAAGGCTTTTATGTCCGAAAACAAAGACGAGATCTACAAAAGGGTGAATAGCACGGACTTCTTGTTGTCTGGCGTATCTAATAATAAAAAAAAAAAATTAAATAATAATAATAATAATAAATAATTATAACAACAACAACAACAACAACAACAACAATAGGGCATAATAATAGGCTAGTAGTAGTATATTTTACATTTTCAAAAAAGATCAGAATAGAACGTATTTTTGTTTGGAAGTCGGTGGTGTGTCATGAAGTGTCTCATTCGTTAAAATTTAGCTAATAAAGGTCAGAAAACAGTGTAGAAAACCCATTGCTTAAATAAAGAAGCCAAAACTCTGAAGCTCAAGATTCAGGACAGTGGCTCCGATGCTGCAAGTGCTGCGAGAGCTTATGCTCCCTTAAAAATAAATAACAGCAGTTTAAGTCAGTTTTCTTGCTGTTAACAGAGGAATGGCAATGGGAAGCTGCTCAATTTCCCGTATTTTGGGTCAGGATCTTGGGATTTTTCAGCCTGCTTTAAAATGAGTTTTTATTTGTAAACATAGGCTATATAAATAGCTGATATGACAAGAAATTACCTTGCATTTTAACCCCTATACCGCAAATGAAGTACGAATTAGCATATACAGGTTAAAATGCATGATAATTTCTTGTCATATCAGCACAAATGCACATAAAATACGTATTTGCACTGTCACAGCAAAAGATTGCCGCACGTATCGCTTATAAAAGGTGAATGGGTACTTGCGTACCAGTTATATGCAGCCCTGATTATAACAAATATTGTATCAGAAATTCGGATCGGTGCCGATCCAGACCTATTTGACGGATCGGGTATCAGCCATGTGTGACCAATCCACAACCTATACTTACTTATTTAGTTTTTGGCAATCTCTAAAAAGAAACCTCCCATTTCGTGTTAAATCTATTTGCACAATCAATCGCACGACAGCTCTTTCCCATTTTACATGTGTTGTTTTGCGGCATTGATGTCGAACAATAACCTCATGCTAAATGTAAAAGCTGGTAGCTAAATAGGAGCCATTTTATAATTATGCAATTTATAATCCGATTAGTCGACTAATTGTTTTAATAGTCGATGACTAGTCAACTATCAAAATAGTCGTTAGTTGCAGCCCTACTTGGCATAACCCTCTGGGGACGAGGGCATCGTCAGCGATGCCGTGTATCTTTCTCGTGTTATTTCAGTTTATATCTTGCTGAAATCTTTATGTAGAATCATGAAATAAAAAGCTGACTAAATCCGCAATCTGTCTTCTTTTCAAAACGTCCATTGTCGGTATTAAAGTTTTTAAAATTAGGTTAAATAGGCAAAAAGTAAACCATGTCACCTTACTTTGTTTTACCTGCATCGGGGGCGTGTGGTACCGCTCTCAGCTGAAGATCGCTATTCACATTCTAAATAGCCGCATTAGCGCGTATTCAAATCGCATTTGCATGGTAATTTGATGAACAACGCAATGGTGAAATGCGATCCAGATACATCCCCATCAGTGCCATAAAAGGGTGGGGGGATATGGCCAGGTGTGAATAGCTCAAGCATACATGAGAGCTCCTACATATTCAATGGAAGGATGCCAGAAATAGTGACATGAGTTAAATTTTTATTATTTATTTATCTGAATGTTGCAACTACACCATTTAGTCATCTTCATGTACCCAAGTCTTTGGTGATCAGATATCTGCGATCAAAACAAACTGGCACCATTGCTTACTATGTAGTTTATAATGTTTTTGCCAGTGTTCCAAACTGCATTTTGCAATGTCTACACTATGATGTCAAATTACAAACAACATAAATCTGACATATTTACATTATACATTAAAATTAAGATGAGTGTAACGGCAAAACAAATATATAAGAAATAATTTATTTGCCACTTTGCTTATAAATCGTTAGTGCCTTACAACTTACTTTCAAACAACCAGTAAGGATAGATCCATGGAACTTTTACTACTAGCCAAGTCGGCTAGTTCAGTAGTAATGTAGTCTGACATGCAATTTTTTTTACTAGTCAGCAGACTAGTGTTCAGTTTTTTGTACTCACCCTTCTCCTGAATAACTTGCGCCAGGTAAGCAGGCGAGCTTAATTTACAACCCTGGATACCTCAATGTCTGATTTTAATAAGAGAAGTTTTCGGGGTATTCAAAATGACCTCTGCAATTCATTGCATGCAAATGCTGGGGATCATGGTAGCGGAGCCAGCAGATTAACAACATGAAAATCGTTTTGTCATAATTTTTTAAGTGTGACATCCAGAAAACTTACGATGTTCAGGTCTTGGATGCGAGTCCTGAGGCCTTCCACCACCTCAATTCGTTCTTCATTACTGTTTGGGTAAGGGTACAGGTGACAGTGGTAGCTGCAGAATAAGATAAATATCATAAGACATCACCAATACCTGTGGACATCCACGATGTCAGACAGATGAAGGATTCAGTTACCAGTCACAGATCTTTTTCACTTTTTGCCCAATCTGGTCCCCCCAGAAGGAGACAAGGAAGACAACACTTTTGGTGCGTTCACCCTGCAAAGACAAGGGACAGTATGAACTATGGCAGTTTAACCGAGAACCTGCCTGTGTTCCACTCATTTTTAAAGCATCTCAGTGACACTGAACATAGAGCCCAGTTAAAACTTCTTACCTAGAGTGAGCAACAGCACATCATCATCGTCAGCACATCAAAAAGCCAACACAAAACATACACACTTATCAAACCACCCCAACTCATAAATGCCTTAAATCACCAGAGCCTCGTGATTCCATGCACCATCTCCATTCACATCGTGTCTGGGTCCTGCACCCACTCGTCAACCTAAACAATTCTCAAATCAACGCACCGTATCTGGGTCCTCCAGGTACTCATCGATCTCAGAGTAGCTGAGGATAGTGTAGCCTTTGCAGACCCTCCATAGCATGCGCTCAAAAGCCTCAATCTTTGCTCGGTGGATGAGGCCTGAGACAAACCTGCACCCAGGAGACCAAAGGCAAGCAGCTGTTAAGCCACATACTCACCTTCCATGACCTGCGTCAGCCACAACATCATAGAACCAATGTGAACTGCAATATTTTTATTGGAAGGCTGTGTCTGGCCTTCAGGGAGTGAACCCAATAATAACCTTGAAGCTGCAACATCATAAATATAAAAAAATTGGTTCAAGTGCTTACAAAAAAAACCTATTGGGGGTGGGATTATTTGTGAACTGTTAATTACTGCCAATGGGAATCAGTAAAACAATCAATATGAAGTGGACTTAACCTATCAGTAATAGACAGCAAATGGTAATGCAAGAAATGAAGCCTCCTATCTCCCATCCCTGGTTTAAGGGTGAACATGGTGTTAGGATACACACCCAAGTTTGGCTCCCAGCCTCTGCATGCTGGTGTAGTCCATCACAGAGTCCTTCTCCAGGAAGGGGAATTCCTCGTACTGTGCCTGCACTGGCTCTCGCTGGACACCGGGGACACAACACAGCCATGATGGAACAGCATGCAGTCGATGCAGAGAGCGCCACTCAGAAACTATAACTATTTAAGGTGCCACCATGAACCACTTACAGGTATCTGATGGAGCTTTCTGGACTAACCAACCAACAGGTTCGCCCATGGTCCAAACCCTTAACTGATATGGTGCATCAGGGTAAATAAGTCCAGTAATAGGTGCAATCAACAGAAATAATCACTTCCTAGTTATACCTGATAAATCAATTTATCCAAATAAAATGAAATGAGTCACGCAATTTCTTAAAAGTCGAACCAACCAGTTCGAAAAAAATATTACCTAGAGCTCGATCTGAATCTCAAAAGTGAATGCCGACCTAAGATAACTTGTACGTGCGGGGAAATGAGTCACGCGGCACTTCTCTCAGCTGAAACAAAGGGTAACGCTTCAGTCTCAGCCTCGCGTTCGCTGTGATAGCTTCGTGCATGTTTACACTAACTGAATACATATATTTAGACAGTAAAAATACATTCAGACAATGATAGTAACAGTAATTATTAAATAATAAAATATATTTTAAAATAAAGATTTCTTATTAATAATTTTAATATTAATAATAAATCATCATTATTATTATTATTATTATTATATAATCATTTAATTATAATAATATTGTTGTGCCGAGTGGGGACGGAACGGAGACAAAGGCACAGACGTCAGGGTATCGGGGAATACGGGGTTTAATTACAGGTAAGGCAGGCAAAACGCAGATGGACAATATAATGACCGGACTGGGAAAACAAACTGAAACGTGGACGAAATACAGAGGACTAATGACAACAACCAGAAACAGGGGGATTCCACATGGGGTTAACGAGGGGGCGTGGCGCACGGAAGGAGCAGATGATCGGGGCAGGACACATTGTTTGGATACATTTATCTTCTTACTTTACAAATTACTGTTTTGATAAATGTGCTTAGATGTGTTTAGTACAGTATATGCTCTTCTTGTTTTATCCGGTTCATTTTGTGTTTAAATGCTAAAAAAAAACATATTTAGGTGTAATTTTTTGGGGCTGGTAACCAATTAATTGGTTTTCCATTATTTCTTATGGGGAAAATTCGATCACAACTCAAACTTTTTAGGATTCGATCCGGAGTTCTGAACGGATTAAATTCAAGTTCTGAGGTACCACTGTAAATCCAAAAAACAACATCATTAACTGTGAAAAAAATTATATGATGATTGCAATGCACAGGACTGAGTGCCAGATCAGTCCTTAATGTCTTATACAGCACAAAAGCAACATGCTATCCTCACGTCAGCCTGACATGGGTAAAACAAGACTGCCCAGATCATGTGACCTCTCGCCTAACTAAAGACCTTGGGAATTTCATGTGGCGAGATCTATGCCACCCCTTTAGCTTTACCGCTGAACTCTACTGAATGTTAAAAGAACCCAGCATAATCCAGTGGATTCATTTTAAAAAATGCCTGGTCAGGTGACACTGAAATGATTTCTCTCCACACCCCAGGCCAAAATTCATCCTCTGATTAGCACGAGGGCAGCGCACATGACCAGTGATGCACAAGAACTGAAAAAAAAAATAAATAAGAAAATCAAACAAATATAATTTCCATTCTCCACCATCCAGAGAGAGTGAATTTGCTCTCCCCCCCATCTGGGGGCGGGGCCCACCTCAGCAGTACGGCGTACGAAGCTCGGGGTGATGTGCAGCATGTACATATACTCCCTCAGCTCCAGGAGGTTCTTCTGCAGCTTCTCCTTGTTCCTGGTCACCTCACTCAGCTCCACCTCAAGCCTCTGAAGCTGCTCCTGTGATAGGCAGAACAAAACCAGCCCACAGAAATAAGCCAGCTATCAGAGCTCCCTAAATCTTTACGTAATCAAATCAAATCTGCAACCCCTTGCGCTGTCTACCTCACTGAAAGATCTTTGCTTAATCGACACATAATTATCACCCCTAGTGTCTGGGCTTAACAGTTAACAGGTCACCTTGCCTGCACCCACCCGACACCACGTGCCACGTATGGGAAATGTTTCTGGGCTCTACGTGCAGATGCTTTTTCAGATCAAAGATTACCTACAGGTACCTGGAATGTCCCCTAGTAATTGTTGACACCAGTGTTGGAATATGAAAACCCTAAAACAATAATACTACTTACATTTCACCAGAACAGCATTACTAATTAAGTCTTTTAATTATGAGTATTAAAATTACACAGGTACCAAATAAAAAAAGACAGCCTACATCCCCAAAAAGACACTTTAAATTAAACTGAGCTCTTAAAAGTTTAACTTGGCAAAATTCAACAACATTAGTGTACTCACTGAAAGATATCTTGAGAAGACAGATCGACAAATGGAACTTACCATTATAAGCAGTACATGTTTCGGCAGTGGGGCAACAGGGTTGACCTCACCATCAGGAAGAGGGATGTCTGCTTTCTTAATTTCTCTCAGAAGGTACCCTGCCAGAGATGACGGCCTGACTCAGCAAAGCAGCGCACACATGCAGCACCCAGCAAGATGCAAACACCCACATTACGCAAATCAAGGTTTAAGTAGAACATCAAAATACAATGTGGTGCCTGAGAACCAGCCATCAGAATTCTTCAGGCGATTAGAAAACCAGACCAGGCACGGTGGCTCCTGTAACAAAGGGTCACGTTCTACTTAAATCCCTTTCTAAGCTGGTCAAAACCAATGCTATTTCTACAGGTATGTCTCCAGATTGACCCCCCTAAGCTGTTCCCTGTGGAGCACTTGAAAACCCAACATCAAGAAGTAGTGCCTCTCTCCTGACAACAATAAGGAAGGCAGCTCAAACGGGAAATTGTCTGGTCAAATTTTGGTAGTGATGAAGCCTGAACCTTATCTCAAGCAACAAATAACCACAAACCAAAATACAGGAAATGCCAAAAGTACCAAGTTATTTTCTTCAAAACGTATTGCAATTTAACATACATTTATAAATGCGAAAATGTGTCTGTTTAGAAAGCAAATATAACACAGAATTACACTGTCTCAAATAACTTAGCAAGTAAACGACATTTTCACCTGAAAATCTGTTGCATATATTTATGTTACGCAAGTATCTGTATTTCTCCACAGTTCCCATACCGTGTCAGTGCACAACGAAGTGTAAAATGAGAGGCCCTCGGCTCTACTTACAAACATAATGCTTTAATGGCACAGCAATGCTCTGTAATGACACCCTACCTAGAATTCTCTCCATTTCTTCACACCTCTTGATTTCGTTGACAAATTTACGCTGGAAGGAACTGACACTGGGGTTAAGCTAAAACAGGGAAAATAAATAGGGTTAATCACTATCAAAGACTACTAACAACAAAAACTTTCCTCCTTTCAGAATTATCTGGATTTATCTTTGGTCTTGATTATTTGGTCACTTATGCAGTAATAACTGCATGCTTGATTTTGTCAGGTTTCATCATATGTTCTGTCGCTCAATATGTGTCAAGAATTCTGCAAGAAACACAATATCCACCCCTCCCTCTCACACACACTGTAGCTGTATTATGATTTTGGGTATATAAATACGTGAAAGACATTTGCTGGACTATTTGTGTTACTAGTATTTTCTAGGAAATGCTACAGGAGACATGGAGAAAGAAAGAGTAATGTTTTACTCCCCTTGTAAACACGGAAGGGTGCAGGCAAACTCCATCAGATGGATGTCAGTTTAGAGTGTCAAAAAAATAAAATATCGTATGTCAAGAAATATGTAATCTATGTTCCTGCTGTTAGCCAGATATCCTGTGAGCAAACAACCACGTACCTGTCAGGGGATACTGACCACTGTAAAATGCGCTGAAACTACATTGAGGGACCTAGATGTGCACGCTAACGTATAGGCGTTCATAATGTATTATGGTTGCAATTAAAATATTCTTTTATGATAAAATTAGATTTGTGCAATGTACACCGAGTGAATAAACTCCAGAGCCACGGTCTTCAATTCGACTTTGGAGCTGCTAGCAAAGTTTCCGCATCAGATGCGCTTCAACACTTACATCCCTGAATTCCACCAGCCCCAGTTCTCCCAGTTCGCAGACACAGTCGTAGGCCGACCCCGACTGCAGGAAGAGCTGGGCCAGGCACATCTCCTCGCTCCGGAACAGCGAGCCCATGTCGTCTTCCTCCACCTCCCCTGGACCTCTCGGAGGCTGGCTGGTCCGCTACCTACTGCCGTCCGTAGGCGGCCGCTCGTCCACCATTAGCGTACCGGACACAAACCTGAAGTGAAAACGCCGAGCCGCCCAACTGCAGATCCCGGGTCAACGCACAATCAAACTCTGCGCCAATTCCGTACCTCCGCTGATCACCCATAAAACTAAAGATTTCGCCTTTTTTTAAATGGCACTTATTAGTTAAGGTTATCAAATAGTTCCCACAACAGGAATACAGAGAGGCAATTTATCGGCTAATTTCACTACAAGCCCGTCTAAGTAATTTACGTAAAGTGCGCAAGTTTACACTGTAACAGTTGCTGACTAAGTAGCAAAACTAGATATTCTTGTCATGTCCCGGATTTCTAAGATCGTCACGCGATAAACGTTTCCGGAGATCACCGTCAAGCAGCCGCATGTTGGTATTTAGAAAATCCACCCCTCCCAGAGCGCAGCGTAGTTATATTCCACGTAGTTTGTCAGAAATAGTCAGACGACAGTCCAGCGAACTAGGAACGGAGGCCGACCAGAAGCTTTCCCTTCGTTCCAGTAGGCGGGGAAACCGACCAGAATCCAGACGGCCCACGAAATCAACGAAAGTTACTACTACGCAATGACGCACACTCACGCGCGCAGTCTATTATTAAAGTTTATTCTCAAAACAATTTCTTAATCGTGTGGTCGAATTGTATGTACACAATCCAGATATACGCAATAGAAAATGTAAACTTTTGACCTGATCAAACCTGTGAAAACTTAGTTATACATAATCATTGCCATTCCTTTGTCAACACCTCTAAAATGAGGAGATGAAAATGCATTTATTTTGTAAATTCAATAAAATTAAACACTTAAAACCAGGCAACCTGACAGAGTGTATTAAATAAACATGGAAATCCATTTCAGTGCACCCTATCACTCCACAAGGGAGTCATCAAAGGATACTCAAATTGTACTGTTCTCATCATGCCATCATTTAAATTGAGCACAAAAGCTACTCCACTTTTGAACAAGAAATGCACAGTATTCCAAGTCTTCCAGCAATGAAGCCACATTAAATCTGAGCGGACACAGGTCAGGTTTGACTTGCATCTTTCCTTCAGTCAGCTGAATCACTCTTCTGGCCCCACCTCAGGCATAGTTGACCTTTAAAAAATTGCAGTGCTCCAGGCCTGACGAATCTGTCTCCACGGGGCCCCCAGCAGGGAGGCGGCAATGAAGAAGAAGACCAAAATCAGCCCTTTAGCAAGCGAGATTGAGTAGGGTTCACCTGGTGGAGACAGAGGGAAAACAAACTGAACTTGTGTTTATGTCATAAAAACCTATATATTTTGTCAGTAATGCTTTATATTATGTCAAGAAACATCTTTAGAACCCTTCATTCAGAGTAAAAGAGGTGCTAAAGACACAATAGCAGTCAAAAGTCTGGACACACCTGCTTTTAATGATCTCTTCTAGCAATGTTATTCACCTTATAGTAGAAGGCTAGGCTTTGAGGCAATGAAGTAATATGTATCAAATACTGCAATGATCAAGTGAAGTGTTCAACACCTTGAAAATTTCTCAAAGTGTAGATTCTTCAAAATAGCCTCCTTTTGTTTTGATGACAGCATTGCAGTCCTTCAATCAGGCTCCAGTTTTGGCCACCCGGAATACTTCTCCAACAGTCCTGAAGGAAGCTCTGGGCACAAGCTGGCTACCTTGCTCTTACTTTTCAGTACAACTCATCCCAATCCAGCTCTACAGGTTTTAGGTTGAGAGATTATGGGAGCCAGGTCATCTGTTCATCTGTTTCCTTGTTCATAAGATAATAATAGCTACATAATCTTGGGCTCAGGGTCATTATTTTGCTAAAAAACAAATGAGTTTTAGTAGGTATGTCCAGACTTTTGACTGGTACTGCAATACCTAATTCTGTGAATTAAACAATTGCAGTAGAACAGTAGAAGCTGGCAGTGAAGATGGTAATAGCCTGACCTGTGTAGTATTTTGTCAATGGGTAGAGAAGCTGGGGCCAGCAGATGTCATTCCTGTCACAGTCATACTCTGTATAGTTGATCTGGAACCTGACAGATGAAAGGCCTGATCAGAATACACTGGGAGGGTCTTGGCATGTTGATTGTGCAGAATCTCTAGGCTACTGAGATCACACCACTCAGCCCATAAACAACCCACTTTTCAGAGTTCAAATGTGGGATCACAAGCCTTAGGCCCGAGCAGGCCATGTGCTCCAGCATGAGCCATTCAACAAAGGTGTGGTATCAGCACCTGAGTGGACATGTGACATGTGTGACAGGGGTTTACCTGGTTTTGATTTGTGGACTTTGGACAGGAATGTTGATAAATGTGACAGCAGAAGACACAGGGAAGCCCTGGGTAATGGCAGAGTCCTGACAGGCCCGGGGATCTCCACCCCCACAGCTCACCCTCCATGTCGACAAGGTGTAACTATCAGAGCAAATACAGTTAATGCATTAACCAGGAAGATACTGAAAATAATGAAAAAGGTAATCTAGCATACAAAGTCTAATTTAAAATACCCAGAACCTGAAAGGTGAGTCATTTTTATGTAAAATATTCTGCTTAGAGCAGTCTAATTTTGTGCAGACTAGTGATTAAGCTGCAGGTGTGAAACAGGAGAAATGAGGCTTTGAATCCCAAATGGATGAGAATATTGCATACTAACTAATTCAAACCATTTCCCGTTGGTTACATAACTGGTTCATACCGGGTAAATCATGGCAGTGACTGGTTAGCACAGGCTAATGTTACTCACTTAGGCTTCTGAATTCTCATTTATACTATAACTACCCAAAGGTTATTTGAAATAAACAGAGAGAACCTGCCAAGTTTTTTGTTCTCAGTAACTTAGAATATATTTTAAATCGTCCCACCTGACCTCCAAGGCTTGGATCTGATGACTAGTGCCATGCCCAGTGACAGTGCTGAAGATGTGAATGTTCAGGTGGGAGGGGACATCCTTACAGACGCCAACAGAGTATTCCACAGGGGTGGTGGCATTCAGCAGTACATCTGCATGACAGGCCACAATATGCAAAAACGAACTTATACAAAAAGTACACAGTATTACAGGGTAAGCTGAAACAGTTACAATTAATTCCATGGTTGGCAATAACCAAATGTTTGATCTACTTTGTTTTGAAACCCATAATGAAATATATGCTGATCTAATATAAGGCTACAGGAGACATTTTTACTGCACAATTCATCGACTTTGAGATGACTTCATGAAAAGAACTAACAGGTAATGTTCACCCATTCGTCCAAGTTGAATGAGTTAGGGTTGCCATTCTTGGCTACATACGACGCAGTCACCAAATCACCCAGACCTCTGTGGATGGTCTCCCTGTTAAACACAGGGTTAGAGTCAAAGAAGTTTAGTCTCATTACATACATTTTGAATAGCAAATAATTCTAGCAAGAAATTTATCCCAGAAACTTCTGCATTTTATATATTCAAAGCTGTTGTTGGCTTGCTTACATTGTTACAAGATTTTAGGCAGTCTATAAGTAAGTTACAATGTATTTGTATTTACAACATTGTGGGGACCAAATGCTCCCACAATGTGGTAAAACCTGTCACTTTTTAACTTGTGGGGACGTTTTCAGTTGCCCACAATATTAGTTTCAATTTTACAAAAAATTGTGTATGCAATCAAAAAACTAAAATAGCCAGAAATCTTGTATTTTATATATTTACTTGTGGTTAAGGTTAGGGCTGGGTAGAGATTAGGGTTTAGTTAGGATTAGGGTTATGCCCATAGAAACGAATGGAAAATGATAAGAATATATGAACTGTGTGTGTTTAGCCTGTAACATACCTGAGCTGGTTACAGAATGTTTAGCATGTTCACAGCTTGTTAGTGTGTTTAGCATGTACACACCTGAACTGATTACAGTGTGTTTACCGTGTAACACACCTGAGCTGGTTACAGTGTGTTTAGCATGTACACACCTGAGCTGGTTACACTGGGTCAGGTCTTGCATGCTCAGGAGCACCAGGCACCCTGCTGTTGAATTCTCTCCAAACAGGACTGGCTTTTTCCCAGCTGAAGCACAGAGTCCGTCTCCCACTGGCATTAAAACAGGTGAAGAGAGACTCCATTGCTCACCAAAGATACACACAAGCAGCAGACTAATCCTGCACCCTCATCCCTGCCATACCTGGCTGCCACATGCTGATGGGTGTCCTCCGCACTCCTCCCGTGTCCCTGTCCACAGAGCCCCCGATGATGGGCTTGCCAACAATATAACCTGGGACCCCAAAGTCACAGGAACTCCATTACCATGCATGAGTAGGGGAACATCCAGGTTATAACCATTACTACTGTGAAAGTGAAACACCCCCCACCCCCCAAATTGTTCTAGAACCAAGACGACCAGTTTTTATGGGTTCCTTCTGTCTCTTTCAATCTCTTTTGTTCTCAGTCACACAAAAGCTTGTCAGCATTCCTGTCTTGAGGGAACATTTTAGTCTGTCCCTGAATAACTGAAATGGACAGATTTCAGGTTCTAATGCAAGTAAAAGGTGTGGAATGACACAGACCTGGGTTGCTGGAGCTGGGCTGGCCAGATGCATTTCTGTTCACAAATACAGCTGAGAACCAGACTGTCAAAGTGGCTGGGAGGAGAGAGATGTAGAGCCACTTCTTAGGAATTGCTGTCTTTTCATAACGTTCTTTGATTTTCTTCTCTGGATGCCATAAACAAAATAGCTCACCACCCGGATCCAGAGGCACGTCGCCAACAGTCCGACGAAGTATGATGCCCGTGAGCCCATTAGCTCTCCAGAAGAATGAATAGTCCAGGGCCAAGGTGGTATTCTGACACAGCTTGCTCCAGTTCTGCTGGGCCTCTGCAAAGACACAGGAGCAACATCTAGCACTTAATCACAACCTACGTCTGAAAAGTAACTGAAGGAGAAGACGTGATAGAAACGT